TCGGCCATTTCCTGGAACCACTCACTTCATGAGGTTGGTTGAAACAATTTACACAGAGCAATTGTAAGCAGATGTTTATAAGTCATTAAATTGAAGAACTTGACTCTTTCACCCCAAGCAATTCAGATGGCAATGCCACATACTGCCATTTAAAAAGGCTTTAAAGAGACTTTGCTACAAAGATCTAACTTATACAGTTTTAAACTAGGAAATCTAAATAAATATATTAATATTAAAATAAATTACTTGTGTGCAAAGTAAACAAACAACATTGTAAAATGAGTTTACCACTTTGTACACAGCCGTGGATGACAAACAGCCATATATTAGGAGGGAAAACACTGTTTATGCTTTACAAAATTTATGTGAGCAGCAATGTTTTGTTTGGACTGTGTGCAAGTATACTGTGTGCAGACCATGCAGTTTTCCCAAGCATAAAAGGCTAATTCTAATTTAATTGTGAATAAGCTATAAACTCATAATTTAAGAAATATGTAATATGGTAAATGGTAATCAGTGGAATGCACAGATTACATATTTTTTTCTTTCTTTTTTATGTGGACATAAACAATTTTTTTTTTTGTATAGCATGCAACAATGATTCAGCAGTATTTGTCAGTACAGTATTTGAACCTTTTCAGAGTAGTGCTTGCTCAGGCAAAACTCACCGTCATGATACTTAGGTGCTCTTGGTGGTTGCTAGGGCATTGCTTTATGGCATTTGCTTTATTATTAATTTATGGATCATTGCTATTCTGGGCAGTTGTTGGGGTTTTACCTGTGTGGATCATAGGATGTTCTCAGTGTATTACTAGGATGTTATGGGTGGTTGCTAAGGCATTTTTTAGGGTTAATTTCTGGGGTGTCCTGGGTGGTTGGTAGGGGTTACAGTGGTGTTCTGTGGTTATTCTGCACCAAGAGAAGCTGCATCATTTAAATTTTGAGGCCTCATTCATGCCTGTAGCACAAACTGTATGTGACAACAAAGTTGTGTTTTGAAGGATGGCATGATCATGTAAGCAACTATTTATGGTATCATTAGGAGACCCCTGGATTCATTGTCCAGCTTGGGAATTATTATTTTTTCCTCATTGTGTAGGGCATTTAATCCGAGAACCATTAACCAACAGAGAGACCCATCAGAACCTGACTGTAAAAATGTGGGTTGGTTATGGTTATATAAACATTGACATGCCTTTAGACATTGACATGTCTGGCCCATTAATGGACTAATCAAACTTTCCGTTCACACACTGCACCCATATATCTATTGGTATACGTAGCAGCTTCATTGAATAGAGCAGTTGAGTCAATACCTTGTAGTCTCACTGACATGGTCCCATGCACTAATGACAATACATTCCTGCTGTATACTTTTGCAGTTCCCAGTCGTGGCTAGTCTGAGGAATGTGGGACAGTTCCCATGCTGTTTCCCAGGCTCAGAGTAGCACAGGACGTGATGCCATCACCAGCCACCACCTCAGTACGGCGCATTAAATATATGCATCTATATGAGCAATGTAACGCACACTGACCCACATCTGAGACATTATTTATGCATATCCCATTCAGTTTCTTTGTTGAGCTGAAAGAGATGTTCACATGCACCATCAGTATGTGTGTTAGTGTGTTAGCTGCCCTCTCCCCGTATTTGTGTCAGTGTGTTTTGTGAGCCCTTTTCTCATGGTACAATTGATTGTCTCTCATCCGTTTACCAATATTGTGTCCCATAATGGTGCCAAATATAGGATATGGAACCCTAGAGCTAAACTAATACATTTTCTATGACATCCTACACAGATTTTCACTTCGGTTAGGCCTACTTTTAGGGATGCCACTAAATAGCATTGTGTGTCAGTGCATTCTTAGTGAATTCATTATGGTGTTTTTTAATAATCACAATAAAAGGATAATAAATACATTTTTGTAGCTTTCACCTACTGTATTACCAGTGTATTATTTTAATTTTTTTGCTTTGTTTCGACTCATAATGTGTCTGAATTTTGCAGTAACCCCTTTTTTTAACCTTACATACTAACAGTTGGTTTGACAGTTTTGTGAATGCTGTTTCAGCTTTCTCATCTTTCAGCTATTTGTGCGTCAGCTGCTGATTCATATGCAGAACCAAATATTGTCCCATTGCTGCCAAAACAAAGAATCTCATAATGGAGAGGCAAACCTTGTCTGAAAGAGAATTGTGTTTATTTATTAAATTTTTATTTTTTTTTGGTCTTGTGTGAAAGGCGGTCTGTGCTTCAGTGATCACTGTGTGGAGCTGGGTGTATGAATTATTGAGGCTTGGTAGAGCCCTCATAAATTAGGAATAGCGAGTCTTTGGGCAGGGTGACGGCCGCTGCTCTGTGGATGCTCTGCATCTTGAGTGTCATGGCCACTAGCTTGAGACTTTCTCTCTAAGCCCTGAGGCCCATCAATCTCTTGAATGATTCTCCTCTCCCAGACACAGCAACAAATGCTGTGTATTAAAAATCTGGGTCCATTTTGTGCATTTGTCAGTTTAAAAATGCTTAATACACTGCACTAAATTGATGTTTCTTCAACTGAAGGCACTTTTGTGTTGGGTTGATTTGTATTAAAACTATTTGGCCACATTAAAACTTTGATCCTTGAGGTCATGGAAGAGTTTTTTTTATATACTGTAAATATACTACTACCTTTCATTCTTGTCAAAAGTGACAGTAAAGGCATTTATAATGTTACAATTTCTAATAAATTCTGTTTCAAATAAAATGTTCAAATCCTTTGTCTTGCTACGGCTAATCTCAGTGTTTTATATACAGTAGTGTATATTTTAGATTTTTTTATTGTTTTACTCTTGTCCCAGACCCAGACTTCCATCTTAAAATATGAATAATAACTTTGCTTAGTATATAATATATAATATTACTTTTGAACAGAATAGTTTTATTTTGCATCATTTAAAAATATCTTTTAAAATTTTGACCAATAGAAAAATGTGAAAATATTATTAGGGCATTTAGGAGTCAGACATTTTATTCCAAAAATGTTATGAATATAATCTACTTTATCGTTACTTACATTGTTGATTATTATTAAACAGAAAACAGAATTTGAAAGGTGGTAGAAATAATGCTGTAGTGAAATACTCATGATACTTAAGAAAAAGTTCACTGTTGGACATTGTTAGTAGAAAAAAAAAACTAAATTAGTGAGAGTGTGAAAAGCGTGTTTTAAGATACTTTATTTTCTAAATGTTCAAGTGGGCCAAAATTATCCACAGTTTAAGAAACACTCAAATATGAATACAATTCATGGTTGTTACATGGTAGTTTTAAGAATACCTATTACCATAGTAATTTTTGGGATGTGTTTGTAAATTAAGCTATCTGACCATTTTGTTGTGTTTCAATGTTAATCAGATGATATTTTTCTCTCATCATATTGTTTCTATTTGCACTGTGTGCTGCTGCTCATAAATAGACTATATAAATGCGGCCCTCTGTAGAAACATTCAAGCTAATGGATGAAGCTTTTACTGGCTGTATAGTGTACTCAACCAACCTCAACTGAACCACAGGGACTTGTGATTTTATTCCGATCCCACCACAACTGCGGTTTGCTATTAAAGTGCTGCTGAACAGATACATAGCATGATTAATAACTTATAAAGATAAATTACACAATAAAAAAAGCTGTTAGAGTCTCTGATAAAAGTATCACTTTGGCTAATGTAAGGCTAGAAGCCTTGAAACAAAAGCTAATAGTAAATTTGAGTCTCTCCAGGGAGCTCGCTATCAAATGCTGATAATGCATTGGCCGTCGACCTCCTGCGCTTGATCCCAATAGATCACTGAAGTACAGCAGAGGTAAAGAGGAAATCCCTTCCTTTGACCCGCTCTATTCCTGAGCCCCAGAGATCCAGTGTGCAGGGCTATGGCAGACTGACAGGGCTTGACAGGCTCAGCTGATGTCTGTTTAGCGTTCTGATCGCTGGAGGAGCTGAGAAGCATGTGTGGTAACAGAGGATTAGCTCTCTCCATATGGCCCGGCCACGACAACCCCAAGCAACATACTGTAATTACAGAGCACAGCCAATATGCTTTGAAAGCCCTCTCATGGGAATTTTGAGGAATGCAGTAAAATCCTGCTGCGTTCCAGTAGAGATTATGGCCCTTGCTTTGGAATTGAGAGTTATTTAAATAATAAATAAATATAAAAACCTAGTTTATGTATTTAGATTTTTATTTAATTTTAGATATGAATTTATTTTAAAATAAATATAAAACTAAAAACCAGAAATACTAGATGTATTTTTATTCATTGATATTTATTTATTTTGATTATTTAATTGATAACACATATAATAATAATACATATATTTATTTATGTATTAAAATAAATACAATGTATTAAAATAAATATAAAAACCCACATCAATTTATTTATTTAGATTTTATTTTATTTATATTAAAATAAATAAATCTATAGATAAACTTGTTGACCTCACTAATTCACTAGTTGGTTGTTGGACATTCCTGCAGAATATCGAGTCGTTTAGTTAAATAATTCTACACTCCATAAGGTCAAAAATCTTTTTTTCCCCATAACATCACCATTTGGATTAAACTGATAAAATTTCATTGTAATAAACTCAAGATTGAAGACAATGACTCAGACGATGATGTTAGAGCTAGTTAAAGATGTCTTTTTAGCTCAGGTAACTTCATGAGTGGATGTTTTATGTCAGTTTATTCTCGTCTGTGAAGATTTGCTTTGGTTCACATAGGGTTACATAAACGCAACAACAAGGAAAACCCCCTTGAGAGGGCAGGTGGGGGGAAAAGAGAGTGTATATCAGGGAGGTCCTTTTTAGTGAGGTCTGTGCTTGAGTGGTTCCCATGCCAACAGTGAGTGGAGCGGTGTTAGGAGCATGCTCAGTGCAGAGCTGGCGGCTGTAACAATAGCTGAGAGAGCTAAAGCAGCTCACATGCTGCTATCACATCAGAGTGGAATAGACCACTGCGTGCACACTGCTGATTTTGCTGACATGCTCTGCCTTCTCATCCCCTACCTGATGTTTCTGCATGAGAAAGAGGTATGTAAATCTAGATGGAGATTGGGAGGAGGGGGGACTTGACTTGTAATATAATAATTTTGCCACTGGTTTATGCTTTAAAAAGCTCTTATTTTGTGCTTGTTGAATGGGATGATTTGTAGAGAAAAGAATGAACATATGTTTTGTGCTGATGATATGCCAGGATGTAATTTAGATCAGTGGATGCTCTATAGATTACATCTTTTTTTCTCATTTTTATTTAAAAAAAATATGCAGTTTACTTATTGTGTGTGACATTTCTCATGGTTTTTGAGTGAAATTCCACCTGAGGAGATGTCCAGTTTGGAATATGAAGAGCAGACTTGCTGAACAGTACAAGGGAACACTGAATATCATTTACATACTTCTGCTCATGACATTGGACAGATCTGAAGCGGAGGATAGACCTCTGGAGGAAGGGAGAGAGAGAAAAAGAGGAGAGCTGAATACATTTATACTCCCTGCGCTGTTACACGATCCTTCTGTTGTGTGGGGTTGTCATGCCTCACTGACCCCTTGACGTGTTGTCGTGACGAAGGGAGTAAGGGGTCAAGCTGTTTCGTTGTGACAACACCGGCATTCTAGTTTTTAGCCTGACCTGGTCCACTGCCGTGCACCTCAACAATACACAAGGCACCAGATCGCTGGAGATGAAGCCATCTGCTCTAATGAAATGCTTCATTGATTTATTGTGTGTTGTTGTGTGGGCACAGAGTGCTACAGAGCTTGAGCCAGGTGTTCAAGACGATCACCTCAGTGTCTGGCACACATGGGGTAAAAATGGGCCAGTTCACTCCTCAGCAGAAAGCCCTCAATATTTCATCTAGTTGGACAGTAGAGAGATAGAAAGAAAGAGGGAAGCGGACAGGAAATTGGAATATAAATTGATGTGACACCTGCAGGCTTGCATAGTATTCATCAGAGGATAACGACTTCTCTGTGAAGCAGAAAGGTCGGGTGGGAATCTGATGATCTGAAGATTTTGCTTTCTAACTAAAAGTTTTAATTTAAAAGTTGTCATCATTTACTCAGCCTCACCTGTATCGGTGGAACACAAAATGAGTTATTTATTGCAGTGCCCAAGCTTCTCTTTGCCAAACAAACTGAATAGTGACGTTTGCTGTCAAACAAGATTTTTAGTGAATAACAACTTCAGTCTGTCTGCTCTTCTCACAAAGCTATTAAAGCTTTGGAAGACTAGGAATGCAGCACACAAGTCATATTAACCACTTTTATTTGTTTTGTGCTCTTTTTTGGAGCTTGACAGCCCCTGATTACCAACCACTGTCTGAAAGGAAAAGAGCGGCTTGGACATTCTGCTACATTTCCCCTTTTGTATTTTATGTAAGAAATAATGTGAAAAGATGTGGAAAAATGAAAGGCAACAGCTTGGCTGCGTCTGAAATCATATACTAGATACTTATTTTCAATAAGTAATTACTTTGCAACTGTTCAGAAATTCTGTTCTGTATAGTATGAGTGTGTGTAGTATAAAATGTAATCCAGAAGTACTACATTCGTAATGTTGGAATTGCCATGTGACCTACCAGCGTCAGTTGCTTCGCTTCACTGCAAATCACAACTCCTCTCCTATGGCCTCATGGGATTGTAAAGTGTCCATCAGATGGAGGGCAGTACCCTTAAAGAAGGAACTTTGTACGTTATGTACCCATAAAGTTTCATAATAGTACCTTAAGGGTACATATTACTGCTCTAAGGTACTAATATGCAGGTAGATGTGGTACAAACGTTGCCCCTTTAAGGATACTGCCTCAGTGACAAGCTGTTGGCCCTAAAGTTACTATTTTTGCTTCTTTTTTTTTCTGACAGTGCAGTTGAAGAATAAGTGTGCGTACATGATGACAGAAGGTTTATTTTTGAGTGAACTATCACATAAAAATGAATCTGTTTAAATCATTGTCTTGCTAACCTTCAATTGCCTCAGACTGTCTGTACCTAAATAGTTTGAGGCAAGGTCACATTTATGTCATTGCAGAATGCTAGGCATGTTTTTGGAGAAATAAAAGGTCTGGTATGTCAACTGCCAGAGTATGGTTTTGTTATCAGCAGGAGGAGAAGTTATGTTGCAAAGTATGTGGGGCATTGGCATTGAACTGCCATTGTTCATGCGTGATGAATGTTTGGAATAATTATACTCAATGGCACCAGAGAACGGCAGTAAACCAGGATTTTACCATCTCATTATGGGTTGAAAAATGTGATATGAGGTTTACATTATGGTTATATTATATTTTAATGTATATTTTCATTCATAATTCATTAATAGTTAAGTCATCACTAGTTTTTTTTAATCCATATTGGGTTTTCTAAATTCAATTAAATTCAAGTTTATTTGTATAGCGCTTTTCACGATATGATGATGATTGCAAAGTAACTTTACAGCAAATTAAGTTGCTACAATATTTAGTGGTAGCTTATCAGTGGTGACTGTAAGTTAATGCACATATGGCAGAAATGTACGGAAAAATAAATTAAAGACGTAATCAACCTTCAGAATTGCACCGTGTACGCCCGCTTTAAGGGATCATATTTGGGGATCCGTGGCATTAATTGTTGGACAGCGTGTTCTCTCTCTTACAAACACAAAGACTTTATCAATAAAATAGTTTTGGGAAAGCCAGTCATATGCGCAATTCACATTCACGCGCTCTCTTCTGCTCTCTCCAGGGGCGTAGATTACGCGGGGGACGTGGGGGACGTGGCCCCCCACTTTTAATATCGAAAAAATGTTTCTTGAGCAGCAAATCAGCATATTATAATGATTTCTGAAGGATGTTACACCGAAGACTGGAGTAATGATGCTGACAATTCAGCTTTGATCTCAGCAATCATTTTAAAATATATTAAAATAGATGAGTATCATCGGCATAACAGTGGAAACTAATCCCGTATTTTTTAATAATATTACCAAGGGGCAACATGTATATCGAAAATAGCAGAGAGTAAATGCAGGCTTTTGTTTAAAGTTTTTGCTGAACTGTATCCTGTTGCTTCTTTTGTGGGCTGCGGTCTCATTAAAATGGTTCCACTTTGAAATGGATATGATTGTGCCCAGTGTGCATCTTACCCAGTTGGATCAGACATTTTCCTGTGAAAGGTGCACCAGCGTACAGTAAGCAGAGATGACAGCTGATCAATTGCCGCCCCCCTTGTGTTCCTAATTCCTAATCCCCCTTTCTCCCCCCTCTGTCCTATCCTGCTCTCACCTCATCACCCCCCGATGAAAGCCCATTACCGACCAAGTGGTTCTGATGGAGATTGGGGCACCTTCACGCAGAGATCCGCTGCTTTGATCCCTCCTTCATTCACAAATAACAACAAAGGAGCTGATGTGTGTGTAGGAGGGCCCCTTAGGACAGGGTTGTGTGGGTCTTATGATGTTCTCCCAATGGATGGTTATTAGGGTTCATAATGGAGCTGTTGAAATATGACAGCCACAGGCAGCTCCTGAGGGCATCCAGCAGTCTTGTTCTACTGAAAGAGAAGCGAGATGCTGTTCATCTCTATCATCTATTTAATGTCACAGCCCATGATGTAGTATAGATTGCTGTATTGACTGTAATGTATGGTTGTGCTGTTGAGATCAGAGGTTGCGTTACCAATAATAATCATCTGTCACTTTGTAAATTATTTGTCCTGTTCTATTTATAAATATTACAAAAGTTAATGCCGATCTATAGAACTAAAATCTTGGTTGACCTACATTTCCATTGAAAAGTTTAGTGTCAGTAAGATTAAAAAAAATGTTTTATTCAGCATTAAATTGACCACAATAGTGATATTAAAGCTGCAGTCTATAAGTTTTGCCTCTTTATCGCCATCTCTGTTTGGAAACCTGCAATTGCAGCTGTGTGCGGAATTATCTTCCTTGCGTGGGTTGTGCGACGGCACGGTTCCAGCACGGATGAATCTAATGTTTTGAGGAGTATGTGTGGCTGTCAGTCACCGCACTGGTGTGGATATTGTACTATTGTACTTAGTCTTGGAATATAACTGATGATTGTCGTTTCGACCTTTCTGGATTACAATCAGCCATTTATTCAGCTGTGAGAAAAGGCTATAAACGATCCGTCACCTGCAGCATCCTCACAGGCAATACAGCATACTAGCCGGGACAACTTCTTTATGTTTACATATGTGACGTAATGACGCAGTGCCAAGCTTGAATTTCCCGCCAAAACCTACCCGTACCACTCAAATTAGAAAACTTTATTACAAGCTTTCCGTTGTGAATCGAGCTAAAGTAAGGCGATAGCTTTGAACACTGGCTGGTTATGTACTTGCTCAAATATTGATTTCGGATCATTTTTAACCAAAAAAAGTTACGGACTGCAGCTTTAATGTATTTTGAATTGCTATAAAAGGTTTCTATTAAAAAATGCTGTTCTTTTAAACTTTGTTAGAATTAGAACAAATGTATCATGGTTTCCACAAAAATATTAAGCAGCACCAATGTTTTGAACATTGATAATAATGTTAAATGCTTCTTGAGCACCAAATCAGCATATTAGAACGATTTCTTAAAGTGTTCATGTGACACTGAAGATTAGAGTAATAAAAACATTTTTAAAAATCTTACAGACCCCAAACCTTTGAAAGGTAGTACATAAATGTAAATTTGGAGAAAGTAAGTTTTGATTAGGGCTGCACGATAAATCGCATGCGATATTTAACGCTGATTACAGAACGGCTTTACTGACAAGATGCGCATTAAATATCGCATGCGATTTATCGTGCAGCCCTAGTTTTGATTATAACTTAGTCAGAAAAAATTAGAATTAACTTTCTAAATTAGAAATAACATTCTAAATGATTTTAGTATAAAATATTTTAATTCAATTCAAAGCTCTTTTAGTTACGAAAGAGGATTAGGGCCAAGCAATAATAAAAAAATAAAAACCATCTTGAGATTAAAGTCATTATAATGCAAAATTAAACTCGAAAATAAAATGTTGGGAATAAACTCATTCAATTTCGAG